CAAGCCTGACCCCCCCCCCCTTTTTTTAAATAGAGACAGGGTCTCACTATGTAGCCCAAGCTGGTCTCAAACTCCTGAACTCAAGTGATCCTCCCGCCTCAGACTCCCAAATTGCTGGGATCCAGGTGTGAGCCACTGTGACCGGTCTCCTGTGTCTTTTTATGTGGACCCCCATCCTGCTTTGGGTCCTTGCGTTTGTCTGCATCTGTTTTTGTTTTTCAGCACTTCCTTTTTTCAGGCATTACAAGTAGCTCCGGAATATCTTGTCTTTTTCCTGCCCCGGCCCTAGAACTGGCCATTTCTCCAAGTCTCCCTGGGAAAGTTCAACACGAGGCCAAGAAAAGCAGGCAGCGAGGACTCCAAGAGCTAAACCCACGTTTGTCTGCAAGCCCCACTGCTGGAGGTTGGATGCCCCAGAACCCTCAAAAGAGGGAGTTTATGGACTATGTGACCTTGGAAAAGTCCCTTTGTGTTGCTGAGTTTCAGATGCCCTGTTTGTATCACGATCAGATCGCAAGGACGGCCAACAGGCTCAAATTTCAGCTCAAGGGGCAGGGGGCTTCTTGGAGAAAGATCCTGAGGTTACAGTATGGCTCCTGATCAAAACTAGTGTGTCCATCAGTGATGTCTGCCATAGGCGTGAAAGGGGAGGGTTGATGGTGTTCCATTAGTGATGTCTGTCGTGGGTGTGAAAGGGGAGGGTTAGTGATGTCTGCTGTGGGCCTGAAAAGGCAGAGTTGATGGTGCTACATCAGTGATGTCTGCCATGGGTGTGAAAGGGGAGGGTTGATGGCGCTTCATTAGTGATGTCTGCCGTGGGCATGAAAGGGGAGAGTCTGTAGCGTTCATTAGTGATGTCTGTCATGGGTATGAAAGTGGAGGGTTGATGGTGCTCCATTAGTGATGTCTGTCATGGGCATGAAAGTGGAGGGTTGATTGTGCTGTTAGTGATGTCTGCTGTGGGCCCGAAATGGGATGGTTGACAGTGCTCCATTAGTGATGTCTGCATGGGCATGAAAGGGGAAGGTTGATAATGCCCCATCCTCTCCTATCCTTTCCAGTTTTTTCTTTTTAGGATCTTAAGCTAGAAAGATGTATTTTCTCAGCTCATGAACCACCAGTCCATTGGGGCAAAGAATAAACAGTGCCATAAAGCCTTCGGGTACATTCCTGGATGGCAGGCCCATGGGGCTCCAGGAAGGGCCCAAGTCCACGAGGACAGTGCCCTGGCTTCCCCCCACTTGCTCAGCAACCCGAGTCCTGCTGCCCATTGGCTTACCCACCTGTCACACAGATGACCTTCCACATTCTCCTTGCAGGGGCAGCGCCCGCTGCGGGGGTTGCAGGTGCCCAGGCTACCAGCGGGATGGCAGGTGCAGGGCCTGCCAGAGAGACAGCACAAGGGGGGAGTGTCCGGCGAGCAACTTCAATCTGTCCTAGGAAGACAGCTCCCTGCCCTCCACTGTTCCCATGGAGATCAGGAGGCAGCTGGCCCGAGAGCCTGCTCCTGGCTTGCCCACTCCCACCTGGCCGAGGAAGTGACCCAGCTACCCATGGTGTGGCCGCCCTCTGCCCACCCCCTCCCACACCCAGGCGCCCTTCCACCCACTCCTTCATGCTTCCGCCTTTCTGTCCATCAAGCACCATCCATCCACCCCTCTGACAAGACACGGTGCCCCTCATGGGCCCCAGAGTCCAGCGAGGACAGACAGGTCGTCAGAGATGCACCAGAGACGTACGCTGGCCTCTGACCCAGCCTGGGTGTGGAGGCAGGGGCGAAGGAGGAAGGGACAGCCTCCTGAGAGAACGGCACCCCAGCTGAGAGCTGAAGAACCTGCAGGAGTCTGCTGGGCACAGGCTGGGCAGAGGCAGAGGATGGGGGCAACAAGAATGCTCAGGGTGGGAGGACAGTACGGGCAAAGGTCCAGGGCCAGAGAGGCCCTGAGGAAGCAGCCAGGTCCCTACCTAATGGTCGCCTTTATGCCCAGAACCACCAAGTGTTTTGTGAGGAATCTGAGCCTCCCCAGATACCCTTACCACATTTCCACTGCCTTTCAAACCTACAAGGAGACTGTTGTATTAGCCAAAGCCAAGTTCATCTAAAAGTGCTTCTGAATTTATTTTAATTCTATTTTTACAGAAATAAGAGAAGGTCTCACTATGTTGCCAAGGGGGGTCTGGAACTCTCAGCCTCGAGTGATCCTCCCGCCTCAGCCTCTCAAAGTGCTGGGATTACAGGTGTGAGCCAACGTGCCCCTGAATTTATACCAGCCCTTTGGGGGTCTTTGTATATTTTCTCAATCAGGCGAGGATGACTGTACTGGAGGCCTCCTCTGAGGTCCACACCCCAGGAGTCCCTCCCCCCGTCACCTCGGCTGTCCGACAGGGCACCCCAGCCTCAGCACAACCAGGCGCCACTCAGCCTCTCCCCGCGCCACTCCGCCCACCGTGCCCCCCGGGGGCCTGTATCCCTCCCGTCTTCCTCCTGGGCCCCTGGTCACCACATCCTCCTGGCTCTGCCTTCCGAGGGGCACTCCCTCTCGAAAGCCAGACCCTCATGTGGCTGCCGGGGCTCCTGCTGCGGCCTTCACCTGGCCCCTACCTCGGGCCCCTCCTGCTTCCTGCCAGCCCACAATTCCTCCCGGCCTTCCAGGCCCCGAGGGCCTCTTCCTCTGCACTGTCTCCTGTTCTGCTCGCTGAACTTCACCTTGCACTTGTCTCTGAGCCACCGCCTTGCTCTTTCCCACCTGGAACACCTATCCCTCCCTTCACTCACTGCCTGCCCTCCCTCATCGGGTCTCACACTAGAACTCAGCGCCTCCTACAGGAAGCCTGCGGGGCCTCCACAGACCTCGGCCCCTGGCTTCATGATTGTCCTATGTCTGCCTTCCCAGGGACCCGGCTTCTCTAGTGCTCACCAGGATCAGGGTGTGGCAGCTGCAGAGTAAGGAAATGTCAGGGACGGGAAGAAAGCTGGGAGCAGCGGCAGCTGACGCCGATCCCTCCTGCTTCCTGTCATTCAGCCCACCGGGGCCACCCACCCGGCTCCCGCTCCCAGCCTGACCTGCAGCCTCCCTCACTGAGCGAGTGGAACCCGGGCCGGCAGCGGTCACACTTCCAGCCCGTCACGGTGGGCTTGCAGGCGCAGGTGCCCGTGTCATCACACTGGAGGTGCAGGGAGCCTGGGGGAGGAAGGGAGCCGGGCAGTGGGCTGCACTGGGGCCAGGATGGGGGCTGGGATGGCGGGGACTGCTCACCTGCAGGGTGGCAGTCACATGGCTGGCACGGTGTCCGCGGGTCCCAGTGATAGAAGTTGTCCTGGCAGCGCTCGCAGTGTGGCCCGGCCGTGTGGTCACGGCAGCGGTGGCAGCGCCCGCCGTGGCCCGTGCTGCGGAAGAGCTCCCGGTCAAAGGTGCACTCCTCGGAGCGGCCGCTGCAGTTGCAGGCTGTGGGCAGGAGACCAGGAAGGTGCAGGCTGTGGGCAGGAGACCCTGGCATGGGGGAAGAGGGACTTCCACGTGCCGGTCACCTGCCCTGTGCTGAATGAGCTGGCAGCGCAAGGAAGGACAGGAGTGTGGTCCAGGATGGAGTTCAGCCCCAGCTTGATCAAGGATACAGAAACCAACTGATTGATTGCCAGTCTTTTTTTTTGAGACAGAGTTTCACTGTGTCACCCAAGCTGGAGCGCAGTGACATGATTGCAGCTCACTGCATCCTCGACCTCCTGGGCTCAAGTGTTCCTCCTGCCTCAGCCTCCTGAGTAGCTGGGACTACAGGCATGGGCCACCACACCTAGCTAATTAATTTTTTTTTTTTTCGTAGAGATAGGATCTTGCTATGTTACCTAGGCTGGAACACCTGGACTCAAGTGATCCTCCCACCTTGGCCTCTCAAAGCACTGGTATTAGAGGCATGAGCCACCACACCCAGCCAACTGTGGTCTTTTTCTGAGCACCTACGATGTGTTCTGCAGCAAAAGTAACAGAGAACTGACTGCACTGGGCTGTGGTAAGGTGTGTACAGGAATAAACACAAAGGGAGGGAGGGAGGGAGGGGTGGTGGGCCTTGGCTGCAAGCACAGAGAGCAGAAGACAGTGAGCTCAGACACCCAGAGAGGCGACAGGGCCAGGACCAAGGCATTGGCTGCGCAGGACACATCAGATGGCTTGGAGGGACGGTGACAGGAGGAATTCAGGGCTTGGGGGCGGGACCTGGGCTTCGGGTGGGGATGGAGGTGAGGTGTCAGGCATGAAGCCCCGGTTTCCAGGAAGGCCGGTGACTGAGAGGACAGAGATGTGACTACAGGAGTGAGGACTTGGGAGGAGAAGCGGCCTGGTCGTCCATGTCCCCACCGTGAAGACAGCCAGGGCTGGAAAGGGTGAGCCAGCCAGTACAGCCTCCTTGGCCCCGGGAGGACGCCCTGGTGAAGGCAGGCCAGAGAGGGCAGCAGGGACCCATTAGGGCCCTGGGGGTTAGGACATGTCCTGTCCCTCGGAACAGGCTGTCCCCTCCCCGCCCCAGTTCTGGCCATGGCCCGGGCCCAGGAGGACAGCAGACCCAGAGGCCAGGCCTGGGTGAGCTGACGTGTGAAGATGCTGTTCCCGCCAGCTGCCGCAGTGGTGCCTGGTGACAGTGGCCGCCCACAGAGAGGCCCTTCCCCCCCCTGCCTGCAGGGCCCTGTCCCTGGAGAAGGCACCGCCCTCTCTCCAGTGCTCTCTGAGGTTGGGCGGTCCAAGCCACATCACAGGGGGCCGGGACACCCAAGGGCTGCCTGGGGGCCCATGGCAGAGGCCGAGGGGAGGGGGGCAGTCACCCCCCCCCCGCATGTGGGGCGGCCTGGCTCTGATTAGCAGCTGGGGGGAGCAGTCACAACAAAGGAACGAGCCAGGGGGCCTTCCCAGCCCTCCCACCATGGTGCGGTGGCTGGGGTTGAGCCGGTCGGAGCTACTTGTGGGGGGCAGGACTGAGGCTTCAATGCCTCCCCCGCTCCCCTCCAGCCCTCCCCCCAGTCCCCTCCATCAGCTCTGCAGCAGCATAGGGACCCTGAGCTGCCCGCCGCTCCCCCCCCAGGAGCAACCCCCACAGCGAGGTTTGGGAGCTTGTGCCCAGCCCGCACCACCAGCCTCGGTCCCCAGGACACTCACGCAGACACTCGTGGGCAGCCTCGGCGGTGGCCCGGGCCCACGGGCGGTCCTGGAAGAAGGGCAGGCAGCGCTCGCAGTCGGGGCCCGTGGTGTTGTGCTGACACCGGCAGGCCAGGCGGCCCATCTCGTCGGGGACACACTCGCTGGCGTGCCCGTTGCATTTACACCTGGGAGAGACCCGAGCAGAAGGAGGGGGCGGACGAGGAGAGGGAGGTGCGGGCAGACAAGGGGTTAATTACCAGGTAGCCCCTGTGTGTGGCGGGGGTGAGTCCAATTCCACCCTCAATCATAGGTTTTTTTGGCTAGGGGGGAAAGGGTCAGGAACTCACTCCATTGCCCAGGCTGGAGTGCAGTGGCATGCTCACGGTCACCGCAGCCTCGACCCCCTGGGCTCAAGCGATCCTCCTGCCTCAGCCTCCAGAGTATCTGGGGCTACAGGCGGGCACCACCACACCTGGTTGATTTCTTCTTACTATTATTATTTTTTGAGTTGGAGAATCACTCTGCTGCCCAGGCTGGAGTGCAGGGGCACGCTTCCGGCCACCACAGCCTCACCCTGCTGGGCTCCAGAGATCCTTCTGCTTCAGCGTTCCAAGTAGCCGGAACTACAGGGGCACACTATCACGTCCAGCTAATTTCTTGATTTTTATTGTAGAGACGAGATCTCATCAAGTTGCCCGGGTTGGTCTTGAGCCCGTGGGCTCAGGCAATCCACTCGTCTCGGCCTCCCAAAATGCTGGGATTACAGGCTGAGTCACCGTGCCTGGCCCTGGCTAATTTTTAAATTTTTTGTAGTGGTGAAGTCTTGCTATGTTACCCAGACTGGTCTCAGACTGCTGGGCTTAAGTGTTCCTCCCACCTTGGCTTCCCCAAAGTGCTGGGATTACAGGTGTGAGCCACAATGCCCAGCCAATCGTGGGCTTTTATTGAGTACCTACTATATCCCTGCAGTAGCAGTAACAGAGGACTGACCGCCCTGAGCTGTCATAAGCCCTGTGTATGAGCAAACCCATTTCATCTGCATGAGCCTGTTACGCCCATTTAACAGACAGAGGGACTGAGGCACAGAGAAGCTGCCCAAGGCTACCAGTTAATGAGCGGCCACCCTAGAAGGCTTCTACTTGAAAGGAGCCCCCCCAGGGACTGAGAGGGATCCAGGAAGACCTCATCTTAGTTTCCCTGGTGAAGAGTGGGTTGGGGGCCACACTGGGCAGTGGCCTGGGGGTGCAAGGAGGCTACCTGGAGCTCTCCTTCAATTATGCCTAAAAGGGCAAGGAAGACGCTGTGCAAACCAGGGACAAATCCTCAGCGAGTCTGTCTCTGAGTCCCCCCGGCACGCACAGGATCAGGCAGGAATGAAGAGGTGCTCTGCGGACCACGTGGATGCCCTCGGAGCCCTGTGTGTGATCGCCTGTCCTGAGTGACCAGCCTGAGATGCTTGGGGGACAGCCAGGCACTGGGCCGGCCCTGGACCAAAGTGACGTCTTCTTGCCGGGGCCTCAACCCCGAGACGGAAAGGACCACTGCTGTCCTCATTCCACAGACAAGGAGGGGACAAACACTGAGTGACAGAGCTGGGAGCTGAAGCCCTGAGCTCCTGGACACTCCCGTGGCCACATGGTGGCTCCCATCAGCCACATTCCACACTCTGCCCTCTGTGGGATATTGAAGAAGCCCTGACCCCCACCAGGGCCCGTTGCTTTCTCTAATCTGGGGACATGGGCATGGCACTGTGTCCTCGTGGGGCCCAGCACAGGCACACAGCACCCCGGCATTTCTGGTGAGAGGATGCAGGGGCGCAGGCAGTCTTGGGGACAGTGGTCACCAGGGAATGACAAGGGACAGCCCCATCTCAGAGGGGGTGTTGTAAACTCCTCCCTCCCCCACAAAGCCCTCTGACCCCAGGGAAGGAAGGTGAGATCCTGTGGACTGTCGCGGGACACAGGCTGTGGGGCCAGCCAGCTGCCGGTCTGAGGGTGGTCCAGCCCCAACAGCTGGGGCGCAGATGTCCTCTGGCCCGAAGCCCCCCGACAGCAGGCGCTGGAGCTCACGGCTGCTGTCTGCCATCCCTGGATTGCCCCCTCCCGCGAGGTCTGGCCTGACTCATGCGGGGGTGTTGGGTGAGGAGAAGCAGAGCGAGACTCTCAGTCCCCAGGGGCCCAGCCTTCCCAAGCCCCAGCCTTCCCTGGGGCCTCAGATGCCCCATGTGCTCCCTCCTTCTCCCCAACTCTCTAAGGCCACCCAAGCACTCCTGAATTGTGGAGGCCAGAGTCTGGGCATCGTCCTCACTGCCCACTCCCGCGCCCCGACATCCACACGGCAAGCTGCTTCTCCCCACCCCCAGTCGCCCCCCACACAGACCAGGCTGCCCTGTCTCTCACCCGATTCCTGAGTCAGGCTTCCTCTCTCTTCCTATCCTTCTCGCTCAACTGTTGGGGGCTGGGGTGTTTTAATTTTCTCTTTTTTTTTTTGAGTTGGGGTCTCACTCTGTTGCCCAGGCTGGAGTAAGCAGCATAATCGCGGCTCACCGCAGCCTCCAACTCCTGGGCTCAGGCGATCCTCTCTACCTGTCTCCCAAGTAGCTGGGACTACAGGCACGCCCCACCCCACCCAACTCATTTTAAAATTTTTTTTGGAAGAGACGAGGTCTCGCTATTGCCTAGGCTGGTCTCAAACTCTTGGGCTCAAGAGATCCTCTTCCCTCAGCCTCCCAAAGTGCTGGGATGACAGGCATGAGCCACCACACCCAGCCAGTGGGGTGTTTAAAATTCCGACCCTGTTACTACCCCATCAAGTCCTTTCACAGTTTCCCATTAACTGCGGGATGAAGGTAAGCCCTGCTCCCCATTCCAGCTACATTGACTTTCCCCTCCCCCTCCAACTCAGCTTTCCTGTCCCCCCTGGGACGCTCTCGCTGGTTCCTGACCTCCCCGGCCCCCCGGGCACCGCCTGGGCTCTGCCTCCCCACGCTTGTCATCCTGGTGATAGCTGACATGTTTACTGGGGAGCCATCTGACTAGTGTCTGCCACACTACTGTGCCTGGGGCAGGAACAAATCCGTCTTCCTCTCTTCTTTCAAAGAAGCAGCCCTGGTCGCTCATGCCTGTCATCCCAGCACTTTGGGAGGCCAGGGCGGGAGGATCCCTGGAGCCCAGGAGTTCGAGAGCAGCCCAGGAAACATACTGAGACCTTGTCTCTTTTTTCTTTAAAAAATAAAATGAGGCGGGACTCGGTGCCTCAGCCTGTCATCCCAGCACCTTGGGAGGCCGAGGCGAGTGGATTGCCTGAGTCCTCGGGTCCGAGACCCGCCCGGGCAATTTGGCGAGACCTGTCTCTACAACAAATCAAAAATCAGCCGGGCGTGGTAGCGTGCGCCTGTAGCTCCGGCTACTTGGAAGGCTGAGGTGGAAGAATACCTAGAGCCCAGCAGGTCGAGGCTGCAGTGGCTGGAAACGTGCCACTGCACTCCAGTCTGGGCCATGGAGTGAGACTCCAACTCAAAAATAAACACATAAATAAAATACAACTAAATTAAATTAAAATTATATTATATATATTTTTATATATAAATATATATATAATTATATATAATATAATTTTAATCATATATATTTAATTTGGGGTTGATTTGGGGTCACATCGGTCTGGCTCACAGGCAATTATATATATAATTATATATATGGAGAAGAAACCAAGAAATGCTGATGCCAATGACATCTGTGCCTCCCCTCGGTCCTCCACACCCCCTTGAGTCCCCAGCATCAGGCGACTGTGCCAGACGGGCCCTGGAACGTGGTGGCGAAAGACCCCTGGGCAGCCCCTGCTTCTCGGAGAGAATGATGTTGGAGAAACAGGCAAGCCTCCACGTGCTCCGACAAGCACTGGGGAACAAGGGATGAGACCAGGGGTCCAGGGGAGCACCTCTCTCTGGGCAGGAGGGGTCTCCAGGCTGAGGGGACAGCAGGGACAAAGATCCAGTGTATCTGACAATTACTGAGCAGCTCAGTGTGGTGGGAACAGTGGGTGCAGGGAACGTAGGAGGAGGTGGCCTGGGGAGGCCTTCAATGCCGGGCACACCCTCCTCTCTCCTGGGGCCCCGGACATGGCTTCTTCATCTCCCCCAACTCCCAGGAGCCACCTTCTGCGCCAGGACCTGGCCTCCCCTCTGGCCCTGACACCCCACCTTCCACCTACCTGCCGCCCACAGAGAGGTCGGACACGGCATAATAGTAGGACTGGAGCACCTTGGGGTCCTTGAAGATGTCGTCCCCAAACGTATTGAGCCGGTCCAAAGAGATGAGGAGCTCAGTGCTGGTGACCCACTCCTGAGCAGAGAGAAAGGGACCCCGTCAGCAGGTTCCTGAATATCTGCTCCCAGGTCTAGCTGGCCGCCCCAGGCTTCCTGGAGCACAGGGACAGGCCAAGCTCAGACACATTCGGAGAACGCTGCAGAAATAAGGAGACTGGGCCAGGCGCGGTGGTGCAAGCCTGTCATCCCAGCACTTTGGGAGGACAAGGCAGGAGGATCGCCTGAGCCCGGGAGTTCAAGACCAGCCTAGTAACATAGCAAGACCTCCTCTCTACAAAAAATCGGGTGGGGTGGCGTATGCCTGTAAGTCCCACCTACTCAGAAGGCTGAGACAGAAGGATCACTTGAGCCCAGGAGGTGGAGGCTGTGGTGAGCTGTGATCTTGCCACTGCACTCTGGGCAACAGAGTGAGACCCTGACTTAAAAAAGAAAGAAAGAAAGAAAGAAGGAGCCTGCGATTTGGGGTCACGTCGGTCTGGCTCACAGGCAACCCACAAGCGTGCAACTTTGCTCGACATCTTGGAGCCTCCATTTCCCCATCTACGAAATGGACCGAGGATAGGACCTCCTGGGCAGGGTGTCTAGAGAATGGCCAGTGTCAGGCTGGGCATGGGGTGGGGCACATGCCCAGGAAGCAGGGGGAGGGGCCAGAGCAGTCCAGGGAAGACACTGCCATGCGGGTCTCCTGCGCCCCATTCCAGAGGTCCGCTGAGGGAGGATGTGCCCTGTGACCGTCTCTCCTGCCCAGTGGGGCCTGCCAGGGTGGAGGGCAAGGCCCTGGGCTTCGTGGCTTCTCACATGCCGGGGCATCAGGCTCCCACAGACGGGTCACCGGCCCGAGTGGCATCTCTCCCCAGAAGGCAGGTCCCCCGAGCAGAGACTTGGGAAACCCTATTCTGGCTGTCTCCCCAGTCCCTGGGCTCCGCCTGGCCCATAGCAGGCCCTCGACACACTTGCTGATCGCGGAGAGCAGCTTTCCTGTGGAAGAGGCTGGCAGGGAAGTCGGGGAACACCCACGTGAAGACTGACATTTTCATCCGCCCGCTGCTGTAATCAGAGGCTGCGGCTCTGCTGAATGTTAATCGGCAATTCGATTCTGCCCAGGAGCCCCTGGTTTGGCAATCAGGCCCATCAGAACAGAAAATGAGCTCCCGGCAATCTGTCTTCCCGCCCCAGCAGCATGCAGGCCAGCAGGTCCTCCCGCACCCCCAAGCTGCAGCGCCTCTGCCTGGATGTTTCAGCAGGGGAGAGGGGTCCAGCACCAGAAAACTGAAGTCAGGGCCTCAGTCTGAGGCTGAGTTTGTGCTTGAGTTTGCAGGCCCCCAGCACGCCCCAAATCGCCCCAGGTCATGCTTCTCAAAGGTCAAGGTGCACTTGGGGATATGGTTAAAATGCAGCTTCTGATTCAGAGATGGGGGTGTGGATACCAGAACGCAGTGGCATGACCACAGCTCACCGCAGACTCAACCTCCTGGGCTCAAGCAATCCTCCTTCTGCAGCCTCCCGAAGAGCCGGGACTACAGGCGCGTGCCACCACATCCAGCTCATTTTTTGATTGTTTTTGTAGAGACGAGGTCTCGCCATGTGGCCCAGGCTGGTCTCGAACTCCTGGACTCAAGCAATCCTCCCGCCTCAGCCTCCCAAAGTGCTGGGATGGCAGACGTGAGCCACTGCGCCCGGCCACGCATTTCTATCAAGTGCCCGGGCCAGGCCGAGGTCTCTGGTCCCTGGGGGAGTGGGGCAGCCCGGCAGGCACAGCTGAAGGCACTGAGGCTCTTCTCTTTCTCCGGAAAAAGTGTCACCCAGGGAACGCAAGCCAACTGGGTAGCAGAGCTGGAAGATCATGTGCCACGTGATCAGGGCTTAGGTCCTTGCACCAACCCTGGGGGTAGGTATTGGTATGAATGACCCCCATTTGCAGATGAGGAGACTGAGGCTCAGAGAGGGTAAACATTCTGCTCCAAGTTGCACAGCTGCTTCAAGGCAGAGCCGGGATTCAGGTCTATCTGACCCCAGGGTCTCAGCTTTAACCACTAGGCTGGTCTGCCTTCCTGCGTCTACCCTAATGCTCTCATCATGCCAGTGGAGCCCAGAAAGGACAATGACATGCCCAAGGTTCCCAGCCCATCAGTGACCCTCCTCTGGGCTCCTGTGTCCACTTTCTGGTCCACTTTCTGGTCTGTCACCTGCTCCATCGTCGGCAAAGACAATGGCCGTAGAGGACAGGGTCATGGTCTCTGAGACACAGAACTAGCCTCAACCTGCTAGACTCATGTGATCCTTCCACCTCAGCCTTCCAAGTAGCTGGAACCACAGGCATGTGCTACCACGCCCGGCTTATTGTTTGATTTATTGTAGAGATGAGGTCTCGCCAAGTTGCCCAGGCTAGTCTCGAACCCGTGGGCTCAGGCAATCCTCTCGCCTCGGCCTCCTAAAGTGCTGGAATTATAGGCTTAAGCCACCGCACTTAGCCTAAATTTAAAAAAAAAAAACCTTTTTTTGAGTCGAGTCTCACTCTGCAGCCCAGGCTGGAGTGTAGTGGCACAATCACGGCTCACGGCAGCCTCGACCTCCTGGGCTCAGGTGATCCTCAGCCTTCCAAGTAGCTAGGACTACAAGCGGGTGCCACCACACCTGGCTAATTTTTTTATTTCATTATGGAGACTAGGTCTACGTTTCCCAGTCTGATCTTGGACTCCTGGACTCAACTGATTTTCCTGCCTCTGTCTCCCAAAGTGCTGGGATTACAGGCATGAGCCACCACGCCCGGCCTTTATTTTTGTTTGTTTGTTTGTTTTTAGTTGGAGTCTCACTCTGTCCCCCAGGCTGGAGTGCAGTGGCACGCTCACAGCCACCGCAGCCTCAACATGCTGGGCTCCGGCGATCCTTCCATGTCAGCCTTCCAAGTAGCTGGAACTACAGGCACACGCCACCATGCCTGGCTTATTCTTTGATTTATTGTAGCGACAAGGTCTCGCCAAGTTGCCCAGGCTGGTTTCAAACCCGTGGGCTCAGGCAATCTTCTTGCCTCGGCCTCCCAAAGTGCTGGGATTATAGGTATGAGCCACCACGCCCGGCCAGGCCTGGCCTTTAAATTAAAACGTATTAAATACAATGTGTAGTCCAGTTCCTCAGTTGCTCTGGTCATGATTCATGGTGGCTCGCAGCTACCATGCTGGACGTGGGAGCATCTCCCCATCACAGGAAGTTCTTCGGGTTAGCCCTGGCTTGCAGCATGGAACCCAGGGCTCAAGACTCCAAAGCTCACATTCTTGTCCTGTTTTTCCATTTAATCCTCATAAGAGCCCTCAGAGACACACAGGGCAGGCCTTGTTATCAGTTATAAAGGAAGCTTGGCCCCATCACAGACAGTTCTGGAAAGAGAACCAGCTGGAATTCTGGACAGTCAACTGCTGGTCTGGTCCCTCCCACCACCTCCTGCATGCCCCTCGAAAATCCCATCTCCCTCCAGGCTCATTATGCAGCATCCACAGAAGATTGAGATGCAACAAAAGCTTCTGTGGGCACGGTGACTCACGCTTGTCGTCCCAGCACTTTGGGAGGCCAAGGCGAGAGGATCGCTTGAGCCTAGGAGTTCGAGACCAGCCTGGGCGACATAGCAAGACCTTGTCTTTACAAACCATCAAAATATAAACCAGGTCTGGTGGTGCGCGCCTAGAGTCCCAACCACCTGAGGCGGGAGGGTCACTGGAGACCAGGTGGGCAAGGATGCGTTAAGCCAGGATCATGCCACTGCACTCCAGCCTGGGCGACAGAGTGAGACCTCAACTCAAAAAAAAAAAAAAAGAAAGTGTCAGTGGCTTAAGGTTTCAAACCATGGGGTCTTGCTGGCTCCCCCTTCCCCAGCCCTGTGTCCAGCCACTTGAGACTCGGGCTGTCCCCCTGACCCAGCCCATCCCCCAAGCCCACCCTGCTCTGACCTGCAGCCCAGGGCTCTCCTCGAAGTTGTAGGCGCTGGGCCGGCCCTCCAGGGTGGAGAAGGCCACGTTGCCCCCACTCAGTGGGGAGATGTCGCTGAACTCAGAGGTGCAGAAGGCCACGCGCTCGTCCTGGCCAGGCCGCAGGTACTGGCCCTCGGGCCTGCCGTAGGTCTTCTGGCAGGACGCGCTGTAGAACTGATAGGGCTCCCACGGGCCGCCGGCGTAGCTCCGCTTGTAGATGGCGAAGCTCTCGGGGCGGCTGGTGTGGAACTTCAGCCTCACATAGGTGATCTCGTAAGCCTTCCCTGCAGCCGGAGACGTGGCCCATTTTACAGAAGGGAAAGGAACATCGGAGCCTGGGTCCCGGGAGAGCAGAGGGTGGCATGGCACAAGCTATCTCGGATGGGTCGTTCGAGGCTGTCAGAGCATTGGGCCGGGAGCACCACTGCCCATCAGTACCCACTGGTGAGAGGACAGAGCTGGGGTGCTTGTCTGGTATTTGCCACCCTGGGTCCCTTATCTGGGTCCACTTGCCTCCCTGCACAGGAATCTGCATTGTGACACCCCTGACAGGCAACCACCTCTTTTGCTCAAACATCTCTAGCAAGGAGATGTTGCCACATCCTGAGAAACCTACTCCACCATTAGAGAGTTATTTCTTTTACTATGCCACATCAAAGCTGCTCCCTCCTCCTGTGCCTTTGACTTCATTCCACTGCAATGACTACAGATCCCTGTTCCAAGCCCCACTAATCCTAACAAGATCCTTCCTGGACCCCTCACACCCTCTAGCTTCTAACTTCCTCCTGATCCAAATTTCCCAGAAGAGGTCTACGTATATCCTCTGGCCCCATGGGCTGGTGTCCCAGTTCAGCCTTCAAGGCACTGCCACTCGGCTTCTCTGGGCGCCTCCATGGAAACTGATCACGCAACACCATCTCACCCACAGTCCCTTGTGGCCACAGCCGGAGACCTTGTTTCCTGGGCCTCTGAACTTTCCCACCACCACAAAAGTGCCCTACCCTGGGGCCTCTGTGCAGCCCGCCCTCACGGGCTGCTCCTGGTCTCTTTTCCTGGCCTGCCTGGGGCCCCTCCTGGGTCCCCCCACCTGCTCCCCCACCCAGTGTCCTCTCCTCTCCCTTGGCTTGAGCCCCGCCCCCTCCAGCAGCACCTGGAGGGGGAATCTTCGGGCTCTAAGGCACCAGCTTCCCTGTCCACCCCTCCACCCCAGGAGCACCCATGTGAACCCCATGACTCAGTGGCACTGACGGGCCAGGGGCCAGGGGCCAGGCTGTGTGGGACGAGGAGGGAGGTCCCTAATGCCTCCCCATCCCTCATGGGATGCCAACAAGCAATGCCCAAGAACAGAAAAACCCTGTGAGCTGGGCTCGGTGGCTCAGCCTGTAATCCCGCGCCTTGGGAGGCTGAGGTGAGTGGATTGCCTGAGCCTGCGGGTTCGAGACCCGCCTGGGCAACTTGGTGAGACCTCATCGCTACAATAAATCAAAAAATTAGCCGGGTGTGGTAGCGTGCGCCTGTAGTTCCAGCTACTCAAAAGGCTGAGGCGGAAGGATCGCCAGAGCCCAGCAGGTCGAGGCTGCCGTGGCCGGGAGCGGCCACTGCACTCCAGTCTGGGCGACAGAGTGAGACTCCAACTCAAAAAAAAAAAAGAAAGTAAATTAGAGAGAGAGAGAGAGAGGAAAAAGTCACCTCCCCAGGATAGGGGAGGGGGCCAAAGCTTAGGAAAACATGGGAGCCATAGCTCAAAAAGCCACTTGGCCAGACCAGAGCTTAGCAAAGCAATGGCCTAGGGTGAATCTTAAAAGGTGATTTCTGGCCGGGTGCGATGGCTCATGCCCATAATCCCAGGACTTTGGGAGGCCGAGGTGGGAGGATTGCTTGGGCTTGGGAGTTTGAGACCAGCCTGGGCAACACAGCAAGAACTCACCTCTACAAAACAATGCAAAAATGAGCTGGGCATGGTAGCGCACACCTGTAGTCCCAGCTACTCAGGAGGTTGAGGCAGGACGATCAACTGAGCCCATGAGTTCGAGGGTGCAGTGAACCGTGAGTGCACCACTGCACTCTAGCCTGGGCAACAGAGAGAGGCCTTGTCTCTATAAATCGACTGATCAGTCAACAGAGATTTCCTCACTGCCTGAACTCCACCATCCTCCACTTATGACAACACTCAGGGGCCCCCTCCTCACAGAAACTTTCTTTTAACCAACGCCCACCCCCGACGTTCTGGCCCAAGCTAGGGGAGGGGCCTCTTGCAATAGCAGCTGAGAGTAGCTGGTTTCCCGCTGGACACAGCTCCTCCCCACACACCTGGCTTCTCTTTGGTAATCTTTGCCACCCAGCGCCTCGCACGGTGCCTGACACCCAGCATCGTTTACTGAGTATTTGTGCAGGAAGGAAGAAAGGGAGGGAGGGAAGACGGACGGACCACGGCTGGGAGTCCTTCCTGGACGGCCTCCCATTGGCAGGAGGCTCATACTCCCCAGAGCACCAGAGGACGCACCCAGCCTCCTCCCCACGGTGGCATTCTTCTCTCAGGCCCTCCTGTCCCATTCCAAAGATCCCAGGAGGCTGCCTGTAGCTGCTGTCTCTGTCACCACCCAGCCCTCCTTAGGTACTGAGGACAAAGCACGTGAGTCCTCTGTCTAGCTGTCTTGGCTGTATGGAAGAGTCAAAACTATGCAACCTGGAGAACATCTTTGTGATTTTGCGTGAGGCAAAGACTTCTTAGCCATGACGCCAAAAGCACACATGGCAAAGGGAACAAGAGATACGTTGGACTCAATCAAAACCAAAGCTTTTGTCCTTCAAAGAACACCACTGAGAAAAGGAAAAGGCAATCCACAGAATAAGAGAAAATATTTGCAAATCGTGTATCTGATAAGAGATTTGTATCTAGAATATATAAAGAATTCTGGCCGGGCTCGGTGGCTCAGCCTGTCATCCCAGCACTGTGGGAGGCCAAGGTGAGTAGATTGCCTGAGCCCGAGGGTTCGAGACCCACCCAAGAAACTTGGCAAGACCTGTCTCTACAATAAATAAAAAATTAGCCAGGTGTGGTAGCGCACACCTGTAAATCTGGCTACTTGGAAGGCTGAGTCAGAAGGATCGTCGGAGCCCAGCAGGTTGAGGCTGAGGTGGCCGAGAGCGTGCCACTGCACTCCAGTCTGGGTGACAGAGTAAGACTCCAACTAAAAAAAAAAAAAGAATTCTTGGCCGGGCACAGTGGTTTAAGCCTGTAATCCCAGCACTTTGGGAGGTGGAGACGAGAGGATTGCCTGAGTCCAGGGGTTCGAGACCAGCCTGGGTAACTTGGCAAGAACTCACCTTTACAATAAATCAAAACATTAGCCGGTGGTAGTACTCACCTATAGTTCCAGCTGCTTGGAAGGCTGAGACAGAAGGATCACTGAGCCCAGAAGGTAAAGGCTGTGGTGGCCATGAGTGTACCACTGCACTCCAGCCTGGGCGACAGAGACTCCAACTCAAAAAAAAAAAAAAAGAATTCTTACAACTCGGGTCAGGCACAGTGGCTCACTCCTATAATCCCAGCATCTTGGGAGGCCGAGGCAGGAGGATCACTTGAGCCCAGGAGTTTGAGACAAGCCTGAGAAACATAGGGAGACCTTATCTCTACAAAAAAAATTTACAAGTTGGGAAACTCCCTGGGGTCCCCTCCCACTATGGGAGTTTTTCTGTCCTCTCAATAAATCCTGCTTTAAAAAATAAACAAATTAAATAAATAAATTAGCCGGGTGTGGTGACGTGTGCCTGAGGTCCTAGCTATTCAGGACGCTGAGGCAGGAGGATGGCTTGAGCCCAGGAGGTTGATGCTGTGATAAGCTGTAATCGTGCCACTGCACTCCACCCTGGGGGACAGAGTGAGACCCCCACTCAAAAAAAAAAAATTCTTACAACTCGATAAAAATGGGCAAAGAGTCTGCAAAGACATTTCTCCAAGGAAGACACACAAATGGCCAAGAAGCACAAAAAAAGATATGCAACATCATACATCAGGGAAATGTAAAATCAAAACCACAATGAGATGCCACTTCACGTCCACTAGGATGGCTACAGGCAACAGACCGATAATAACAAGTATTGCCAAAAATGTGGAGAAATTGGAACCCTCACATGCCGCTCATGGAAATATAAGATGGTGCAGTCACTTTGGAAAACAGTCTGGGAATTCTCAAAATGTTAAACACAGAGTTACCATATGATCCAGCAATTCTGCTCCTAGGTATCTACCCAAGAAAAACATATATCCACGCAAAAACGTGTACATGCATATTCACAGCAGTGTTATTCATAAAAGCCAAAGACTGAAAACAACTCAAATGTCCACCAACTGATGAATAACTAACTAAAATGAGGTATATCAGCTGGGCGTGGTGGCTCACGCCTATAATCCCAGCATTTTGGGAGGCCGAAGCAGGAGGATTGCTTGAAGCCAAGAGTTCAAAACCAGCCTAGGCAATATAGTGAGACCTTAACTCTACAAAAAAATTAAAAAGAAAAAATTAGCCAGAAAGGGTGGCACGAGCCTGTAGTCCACCTACTCAGGAGGCTGAGGTGGAAGGATCACCACAGCCCAGGAGGTCAAAGCTGCAGTGAGCCATGATCGTGCCACCGCACTCCAGCCTGGGAGACAGAGTGAGAATCCCTGACTCAAAAAAAAAAAAGAAAAAGAAAAGAAAAGAAAGTAACAAGTGTTGTCGAGGGTGTGGAGAAATCAGAACCCTTGTACACTGCTGGTGGGAATGTGAAATTCAGGTGTTGTGGGAAAAAAATCTGGCAGGTTCTCAAAACACTCAAAACAATGCACCAATCTGACAGATCTGGAGCCGCTTCTGTCTGCTGCTAGGGTTTCCACTCCAGATGCAGGAAAAAGGTATCCTCATGGTTTCTGCCATCTGACTGCAGCAACCAAAACCGAATAGAGGAATATCGGGCAAAGCATGGAAGGGGAATTTATGTAACTTGAGAGATGGCCTCATAGACGGTAAAGAGCCTGCTTTACTCCAGCAAAGAACCTATCATTTGAATTTACCTGAAAAGTGTTGGGAAATATCCCTCCGTGGCACCTGGCCAGTCACACTTGTGAAAACTCAAAGGTTAAACAAATTAGAAGCAAGCCCTGGAGCCCCAGCACTATGGAAGATCGAGACAGGAGGATTGGCTTGAGCCCGGGAGTTCAAGACCCATGTGGGCAACATAGCAAGACCCCGTCTCTACAAAGAAACACAAAATTGGCCAGGTGTGGTGGCACGCGCCTGTAGTCTTGGCTACTCAGGAGGCTGGGGCAGATGGATGGCCTGAGCCCAGGGGGTCAAGGCTGCAGTGAGCTGTGATTGTGCTGCTGCACTCCTGCCTGGGCAGCAACAGAGTGAGACCTCGACTCAAAAAAAAAAAAGAAGCAGGCCAATGACTCTTTAGTCCATTTGGATTTAATAAATAAATAAATAGATAGATAACAGAATTACCATATGACCCAGTACTTCTACTTCTCAATATAAACCCAAAAGAATTGAAAACAGGACACAAATGTTGTGTTACATACATTTGAAAAAAAAAAAATCAGGGAAAGCATCTTCCTTCTTTGCCTCTTCTCTACACTTGGAAATAAGGAGCTCTTGCCGGGCACGGTGGCTCACGCCTGTAATCCCAGCACTTTGGGAAGTAGAGACGAGAGGATTGCCTGAGGACGCAGGTTTGAAACCAGCCTAGGCAACTTGGCAAGACCTCATCTCTACAACAGATCAAGAAAAATTAGGCTGAGCTCGGTGGCTCAGCTTGTAATCCCAGCACTTTGGGAGGCAGAGGTGAGTGGATTGCCTGCGCCTGCAGGTTTGAGACCAGCCTGGTAACATGGTGAGACCTTGTCTCTACAATTAAAAAAAAAAAATTAGCCAGG